TATGTGTTGTTACGAATCAATGAATTATTCACCTCTAAGTTCAAGAGTATTCTTAAAATCAATGCGTTTTAGAAATATTCCTCGTTCGTATTCATTTTCATTGCATTAGATGTTAAGTTGTAGAGCTTAATTATTGTCATTGTGCGAAGTACATATGTTTTGGGGTTGGAAGAGGGGCGGGAAGCTCGTACCTAAATTTCGATTTTGCCTTAATTTTTCTCATAAATAGAAAGCCATCGTTTTGATCATTACCAAAAAAAGAAAGAGATTAGAAAAAATAGGATTTTCTCTTGTAAACTTCTTTTTATTATGGCGAGTTACTGCAGCGGCAAACAAGACGTAGTGTCACATTGATATGAACCTCTATAAATTTTAAGTATTTTTTTGTATCTTTATTTTCTTAATGTGATTTTATTACTTCTCACCATGTAATTGTTATATTGATCGATAAATATTTAATATGAGGCATTATTATGTACACACTGTCTTGTTATTACTGAAATAGTTTTCTAGTTAATTAATTAAAAGGTATCGATACGGATAATATTAATTTTCTTGTTAAATATTAAATAGAAAAGTCTGAAGAGCTTTGATATTAACATTTTGATTTTTTTTAATTATTATTTATTTGATTCTTAGAAATTTTACATAGATATTTACGAGCATAAAATTAAAGAATCTGATTACGTGCCAAATCTAAATTTATAAATATACCGTGGAAATTAGAATATATGCCATTTTTCTTATTATTAAAATGTGTTTGATTCTTTATTTTTCATGTAAAATGTCGTCTTTTTTTAATTCAAATTCTTACTTTTGGAATGTTTGATTGACAATTTTTTCATGAAAAATATTTTTGGTCACATGGCTATATTTTCCTTAAAAATAAAGAAAACGTTTTCGTTAGGTAGATATGGTTTTTATTTTTCAGACAATTCACTTTCTCTTTCTCTCTCTCCCATCTATCCACTCTCTCTCATCTACTTTAAATTGACAAATATAATATTTTTTAGATTAAAAATTAAATCAATCGAACACATTTAATTAATGCGAGCATGAAATTTGCATAAAAAGAAAAAAAATAGAAAATTCAATTACCTAAAACTTATTTATATGAAAATTATTAATTAAATATGTTTGATTGATTTTATTTTCAACTTAGAAAATATTATAATTATTCATTTTTTATTGGTGAGTAGATGAGAGAGAAATGATAGATAAGAGAGAGTGGATTATCTGGGAAATAAAATCTCTTTCTCCCTAAATAAGATATTTTCCTTCATTTTGAGGAAAATATGATCACGTGACTAAAAGTAGGAAAATGTTTTTCATGGAAAAAGAAATGTCAATCAAACAGCACAAAAATAGAAGTTTAAACGAAAAAAAACATATTTTTCATGAAAAATATTGACAATCAAACGCACGATTGTTTTTTTTAATGGAAATGCATCTACTTTATCATTTCCCACTTGCAAAGATTCTAAAATAGCTTGAAACTTACGTTTAACCCACAAGAATCAATATGGGTCGGCTTAAACACCTTTTTTAGCATTTATACCCTTTTTTCCCCTTTTCCTCTTAAGGAATTTACGAGAACGATGGTTGAAATTAAAGATTAAAAAAAAAAAAAAAGGGTCCGAAAATGGAAACTAAATTGAAGTATAGACTGATATTGAATTAGAGAGAGAGGAGAGAAAATATCAAAACCTTTGCTTGTTCGAGTAGTCATGTTTGAACAACTCAAACACTGTGACTACAATTCGGTCCATATCCGGTGTGAGCATTAGAGCATTGAGAAGACCTTTTCCTGATACGAGAGGATCGAGAAGGACACACTTCTACCACTTGTAAATATTTTTTAACATTGATTCAGGAGAGTCCAACATCAACAATACAATAAACAAAATTATATACATTATACACACAATTTTCATTGGCCATATACTTCAATATCAGAAGATAAAGTTTGGCGTATCATTTCCTCAACATATACATTGGAACGCTGGGTCTGCTCTTATACCTATAGAAAACTTTTTTCTTCTTGAAAGTCCCATTCCCTATTGTTATCACTATTTTCCCAGGTTCTCTAATGTGAAATGAATTTCTTACACTTTCACCCATTTTCTTCTCATTCTGAAGCAAAATCTTGTACGAACAATCATCGTCCGGAATAAATTCCTCTTTGTATGTCACCTCGTACCCAACCACGGTTACATCCCAAGTCATTGTCACGTCCGCCTGCGTCAATTTTATATAGAATGTGTTAGATACGTCGAGCTCGACTGGACAGGACTGTACAGAATGACTGTTATATACCTCATTGATAGGTATCTGAATGCGCTCAGTTGTATTTGCTCTAGCATTTATTTCAAGAACTTTGTCATCTGTTGAGAACTCGGTGTCATTTTCTCTCATAAGGCCGCCATATTGAGCTAGTAAGTTTTCTGGAGTGGCATACCTACAAGTCCAATGAAATTTGACGTTATTAAGTGTAAGAGCTTAAACCGTTAAGAGAAGAATAAACTTACTTGAGAAGGGTTTCTGCGACTCTTGAGGACTTGACGAAAACAAACTTGTGCTTGCTCTTTTGGGTAATGAGCCTCAAGTTTATAGCATGCAGAGCCAGAAACCATGCTGGAACATTTATAATAAACTGCAACAACATAATGTTTAGAATCATTTGCAAATTTTAAGAAAAAACTATTATACTGTCCACTTTTCTTTAATTTCCTCGTATAAGAATCTTCGTAAACTGGGCTACTTTCACTCCGTCGAGCTCAAACTTACATTCTTGTGAACGATTCCAAGGTAATTATCATGAAGCAGCATCAGCCATTTCTTGCTAATCCACCGAACTTCATTTATAGCATGCCCTGGAGAATTCTTCAAATCTGTGATCTGAACAATTGAATCCACCTCACCTGGTTTAAAATCAAGATTCTGAATCCCTTTTTCTAAACAATAAACTCTCCAATTCAAAAACTCCTCTCTTTTCTCATTGAATTGGTTCCCAGATTTCTTATCGACAAACTCCCCCAACACATTGTAACACAAAGGGCGGCCTTCTTTGTCCTTGCCGTTCAAGAACAAAGTATTTTCGAGCCCGGGATCGAAATTTTCACCAAGAACTTCATTAGCTCCAAAATCCCTTCTCCATTTCAGCATTCTGCGCAGCATTTTGAATGCATCAGACACCTTGTAATCTTTTGCCTTTAAGAATTTCATTAGGACAACATCTGTACCTTGATGACCTTTGCTAGGTAATAAAGGGACACCCCATAAAGTAATGTCCTTCAAATTATCTTCATTTTTCTTGTCATTTCCTTTGGAAAAGAATTTCTTTTTCTTTTTCTCAAACAGGGCATTTTCAAGAATTGCATCTTCCACCTTGCAACGAAATTTAATCAACTTCTTGATTTCAAATGTGCAAAATTCATCACATCCTTGAGGTTTCGGCTTTAAGATTGCATTGTATTCACAGGTTTCTTGGTTTGTGGTAGTGGCGTCATCATCAACCTCAAACGGAGCCACTTTCTCCACTATCATTTTGCCGAGCTCCGCCCTGCCGGAGTTCCTCCGGGGAGGTGCTGGATAAAGCGATTTTAGATTCCTTTTCCTTTCCTTCGGAAAAGCAAAAGAAAAAAGTGGGGGTTGGAGGGGGTATCGTATGAATTGACAGTTGAACCGTCGATTCAGATGGTGTGAATTATTGGGGTCTTTACGATTGAGATTTTAACGGAATATTTAGTGGTGCTTATGAGGTGGAATGCGAACCGAATGCGACAAAAACAAGTGAAAAGGATCATTTATGATATCCTTACATAGCATGTTCACATTTAATTAGACAAGATAAAGAGAGATGGTATACATTGAAACATGATAAAAAGAAATTATTAAATAAATGTGCCACAACTTTTATTTGTCCCCCCCAAATTTTAATTGTAATTAAAGTAATCAACAATTGATCATTGTTGTACTTATATCCCCAACTTTTTTTTATCATATTCTTATTTAGTTATTTCTAAACTTCGATTAATAGCACATCATGTGCCTGACTACTATATTATCGTACTTTGAAATGAGGGGGAAATATTTTGTCAAACATCAGTTAAAAAAAATGTTCATTTAAAAAAGTCATGTATGCCTTCTAATAGATTTCTTGGACGAAAATCAACATCCAGGACAAGATGTACCAAGATCTAATTAATGAAAGAATGAGAATAAAAATGCAACAAAAAATTGAGAACGATAGTGATGATGAGTAAAAATTGAAAATCTTTATTGTAATTAAAATGTAGTGCAAAAAACAATAACAATAGTGACGAATAAAACAATTAATTAAACCATTAGCTTGCACCAATCTTGACCGCCTCAGAAGCTATGCCATTCGAGATACATTTGATTGTTAAATTGTAGTTCGACATTCTACATAACCTCCTTGTAATTAAACAAACATTGTTCCACTTGTGATGAAACCAAAACATTTCATGTGAATTACAGAATTTTCATTATCAGGTCAGCGAAAAGGTTCGAATCTCATTTGGAAAGTATGAAACGAAACAAGTATATTCTCAAACTATTAATAACATGATCATTTTACATTCAATACGAAAACAAAGCTGTTTTACAAACTTCGAACATAGTATAGACAGCAGATACACAGGCCACTGCAGTATGGAGTCACTCTTATTATTCGCGGTATTTTGTCAAATCAAATGTCAACGTTCTCGAGCAGCTGGACAAAAAAATGTAGTAATTTTGTCATGGACGTAATATGGAAAATAAAAACAGGTATCTATAGGATACTGCAAATGCAATAATCTAACAGGACAAATATTTCTCACCTTCTTTCTGAATCCCTGTAAACACCAACCAAAGCTTCAGCTTTGTCATAAAAGTTGTCCTTCAGAGAAATCACGATACTCTGAAAACCACAACCAAATTCAGCATCCGAGTTCATCCTTGCTCCTCCACATGATTTCGATCGTATAAAACCAGCTACTTTGGCGACATTTAAATTGTCTAATGCAGCATCCACTTCATCCAGTATAAAAAAGGGAGAGGGCCTAAAACTGAAAATTTCAAGGACAAAAGCTGTAAGACAAACAATTCCTTCAAATAGATCTCAGGAAACTGTAACTGCCAAAAATGATAAATAAGCAGAAGCAATAAAAGAAAAAAAAAAAAAAAAAACCAAGGACAAAAACCAACAATTTATTCAGTCAAAATCATTACATCATAAACCAAGGTCAAAAACCAACAATTTATTCAGTCAAAATCATTACATCATTAACCGCACAAGCCAAAATGCCTCACACGGGTTCGATTTAGCAATAAGGAGGTAAAATAATAATTATACGGAGGCACTAGAGAAATTGCAAGGTGCATCTCAACAAAAGATTAAAGGAAAAGAGAGGATCAACAGCATCTATAGCAGAATATCAACTTTACTGCTTTCCTCCTGACACTTTTTTATGCATTGCCTTGTACATACCTGTGAATGGAAAATAGCAAGGCAAGTGCAGCAACAGTCTTCTCTCCACCAGATAGTTGAGACATATCACGGTATCTCTTTGTTGGGGGCATAGCACTGTACTTGATGCCATATAAGTAAGGCTCATCAGGATTCTCCAAGTTCAGATATGCTGTCCCACCCACAGCATGTGTGCCGCTCAGCCCACCCACTGAGTGTGCATTGCTCTTTGTGAGTTCATTGTAAATTTTGTCAATGTTGCCAGAGATATGGTCAAAAGCTTTCATAAATAATTCATGCCTGTATTCAACTTTGAAATTAGCAAACATTCACTTGAAAATTTAAGATGAATAGACTGAAGATATGCTGCTGGAACAAAACCCACAGCGAGGGACAACGATTGCTAAGCTGAATGAGCATAAAGACTAAGGTGGTAAAAATTATAAAAATATAAGCATAATCCAAAGAGAACATTAGGAAACAAAATTGTAGCAAAGTAACAGGATATCTATGGAGAAAACTCAAGATGATGACAAGTCGAGACGTTGCCAATACTCTTTTGATTGCCTTCTACATGTTGCCAAGGGGAATAGAAGAAAATATACAAATCAGAATCCACTACATCAATTAAATAGTAAGCGGTTTCAAAAGAAAACATCACGGATTCTCAATAGCCGATATGAAATTCAACGCCTATATCAAGGGCTGGTACCCATGTTTTCTAGATTTTATTAAAGTAATCATTTTTGTTGCAACCTAGCATCTTAAGGTCGATTACCAGTCATCAATGCCAAGATGCACACCCATCAATTCAAATTCTCAAGACCGGTTATCACAAATTCACAATCACCTGTGTTGTTTACTCCTGTTTAACATTTTGACCTGGTGTGAATTAGTTAGTGTTCCCAGCGATTGAAAGAACAAGAACAAAAATGATAGAGAGGAATTTAAATATATCCACAACGAGAAATAGAAAAGAATAAGATACTTCGTAACAGTAACAAGTTATTCTAAATGGTTGCATCAAGGCAGTGATGGAATATAATTTTGTGGGATGAAGTTATCACAAAAAGGATGGATTTGAGAATACGTGGACTAGCAAGGTTTGAAGGCATAGTATGGAACCATATATTCAGTGATAGATCTTGATGTCAAGAGATGCTCAAGTAAAATTTATTAGGGGCATCATCAGCCAATCTCCTATGTTGGGCAATCCCATAATAAAAAGAGGTGATATTTAATGGTTAAAGAGAGTTATTCCAACGAAACTCCAGCATCATTTCCTGGTCTTAATAGGCCCATTGAATTCAGGAAGTACAATCCTTATGATGAATGCTTCTAGTCATGTTATCACATATAATATGCAAGGCAGTCTATGGAACTCATAAAGCACCTTATCTGTTTAACTCTGTTGTATTCAGCAGTGATTTTGTTCTGCTCATCTCTGGCCGCTTCCCATTCTCTTGAAGCAGCTTTATCCTTCTCCAAAACAGCCTCGTACTGATCCAGTGCCTTCAAATTTGGAGCTGTTCTTTCAATTTCAGACATTAAGGCAGCAATTTTCTGTGTGAATTCTACCTCAATCTTCTCCCTCTCAGATGGCTTAGATTTCTGCTGAAGAGATCTACTTAGTATGCTGAAATCAAAAACTGGCCCTGGGGATGACGATCCAGTATCCATAGGATCGCCAACTGTTGGAATGTCTATATGTTCTAATTCACACTTTTCCAATATCTCTTGCTTCCGCAAATTCAGCTGCTCAACCAGGGCTTCCTGCAAAATCAGGAAAAAAATGTTAATATTAACTGCATCTATTCTTCTCTTTGTTAACATTGAACTTGGAACTCGAAAGCTGTTAGCAGAGATCACTAACTAATGATACTGGAAGTTCAGAAACATCATTTTCTGAAGGACGTAACCATTACAGCTTACCTTTGATTTAATTTGACGATTGTGCTTGCTAATATTTGTTGTAGCAGCTGAAATCATTCTCTTCCATTCTTGAATATCCCTTTCACACTCTTCTGATTTTGACTTCCACTCTAAGAAAGAAGAAATGGACACTGTTTAGTTCTCATGTCAAACTCAAAATTTTCAGATGACCCAAAGAAGAAAATTGGAATTTGACAATTAAAACTGGGAGAACATCCACATCAACAAAACCAGGATGAAACAATGGACAAGAAGTACCTAACACTTCTTCTTTTAACCGATCAATATCAGTGTTTGCTGCCTCCATCGCTGACTTCAGTTCAATTTGGCTTTTCTCAACCTCTTTCAAAGCATTTTTCAAGTTAGAGAGTGTTGATTCCAGTTTGGTAATCCGTGATCCCACATCTCGTTTCTGTTCATACTCTAACCTGGACAAATATAAAATGGGTGTACAGATTAGGACTACATGGATACTTCCCTAATATAACAAGAGATCAAAAGTGAGAAAGATACTTGAGAGCATTGGAAGTTACACACAAATTTGTGTGTCTAATCATATTCAACCTTCCTAATCTGAATATAGCTTTTGCTATTGTCACCAGAAATTCCACATTCTATAACAGTAAAAAAAAGGCTTCCAGAAAGAAGATGATGGAATTCTATGAAATATAAGTCCACCGATGGTTCAGTCAATATCCAGAGTCAAATTCAACATTCAGAAAGAGTTCAAATTAAATTGCTGCTTCAAAAACATCCCTCAGAAAGACAATGACTTAAATAATTTGTGAAAGCTTTTGGAAAAAAGGATAATGACATGTGCATTGAACTGTTAAAACGTTAGGTTCTTGGAAGGTTCAAGTTGTTAAGTGCAACGAGCTTTCAACAGTCTCTAAAAGGACATTGCAGGCAAACAGACACAATATCGAGACATATATATAAAGAATTAAAAAATAAACTGAGAGTACATACTGGTATTTCAGTTTTGATTGCTGATTATGCAAGCTGAGCCTTTCTTCAGCCATTTGCTCAATTGCCTTGAGATGGTTTTCCTCATATTCACGAATGTTCGCTACCCCAACAGACTCGCTAAATTTCTTGTAGATTCTGTCAACAATATTGTTGATCGCATTTTCTAATGACGAGATCCTAGACTTTCTTTTGTTGATTACATTTTCCAACTGCAAACGGCCCAGATAAGTTAGGTGTTTCTGAACTCGTAATAACAACACAAAGACCAAAAAAGCACACCTTTTGAATTTCAGGCTGGACACGGACAATTTCCCCTTCAATGTTGCTTTTCTCCGCGTTCAACTTGATCAGTTTGTCCTCAATACTTTTCTGCAACAGATCCATTTACATAAGTCCTAATACCATAAAATGCATAAAACAAACCCAAAGAGCATGAGGTGAAAATAAGAAATAAGTTATGTAATTTTATAGGTAAAAGATTATAAATTATAGCACAGTCAGTAAGTATGGACGATTCTGCTGAAATGGAGCTACTTATTCAGAGAGGGATCTGACAGGTCAACCTGGAACGGTTCAACAGCACCGGTTTTTAGTATATAACTGGACCAGTTTCCAGTTCAGTTCACAATTTTTCTGGTTTTGATAACACTGATTTCAGTAGCTTTAGCACACACTCCAAGAAGGAAAACAGCCTATGACACTTGTGACAATAGCTACGTTCGACACAAAATCCAGGATACATGTGTGGATATGGTAGGTGGCTTTCATTACGGAGATCTTTATACATAAATGTTGAAGCATTATCCCCAGATATTTATTTTAAGAAAATAAATTAGGCTCAGTGTTTTTTATTTAGACAAATATTGAATTTTGTACAGAGTTATTAAAATTTCCACCTCCAATTTTTCTATCTTCCTCTCCGTTGTCTATCCTTTTCTCTCTTCTCCTTTCCATTTTTCATGATCTTCCCTATATTCTTGTGTTCAACTTAGAGTGATACATCATTTCTATGTATTTCTTTTGCTTTCTTTGGTTTCTTAGCGGATGGGGGGAGTTGGTGGCTTATTGTTAGAAAGGTAAATATTGGTGGTTCATTGATACAAAATGAGTTCTTCCACTATGTTGAATTAGCAATCTGGAAAGATCAGTGCATGTTGCTTCAGTTTTAACTTACCACCACTCAAATTTTAGGTCTGTCTCGCCCTTTATGTTGGACATAATTTCTCAAACTATGGGAATGCCATAAAACCTCATACATATTTTCCAGTTTCTCATAAAACATCAAACACTATATGAATAGATTATGTAATCTTATGATCTCTAGTCAGCCTAAAAATGTGGCCAATACTGTTATATACTTATATAGAAGATCTATTCTTCTTAAAAGCATTTATTTATATATGAACATCATTTTCAACACTTGAAATACTTGATTTTAAGAGAGAAATAGGAGAAAATGAAAAAAAAATAATAATAACCTAGACAGGAACAATTGATATACATGTTATACAGAAAGATGTGTAATGCAGAAGTCTCTCATCATTCAGAAAAGACCAAAAAAATTCAGGATAACGAACGTTGTCTAGGATTCTCTAAGCCTCAGATTTAAGCCCATAGCTGATGATGCTTGCAAACATATTCACACATTTTATTTTACCTTCTCAATTTCTGCATATTGAATCTTCTTTTCAAGACCGCTAATTTTGCCTGACACTTCGGACTCCTTAAGCTGCATCTCTCTTATAGACCCAAGCTCTTCCAACTGGGTCTCAAGGTCTTCCTTTTTCCTCTTAAGCCCTGCAGATGACAAAATCTAGCCATAATGCAATCAACCTAGCACAATGTAGAAAAAACTATACAAACCTAGTAATCACAGACAATCCTACAAGGGTGACGTGTCCATATACGACACGTCGTTCTGTGTGATACACCGACACAACTCGGACTCTCTTTGCCAAAGAAGAGACGTGTCATGTTTAATATATTTTATTAAAATTCTGATACTTGAAGGATACTTTGAGGATCATTCTTGACAAGTCTCTAACATTCCATGTGACATATCCTAGATTAAAAGGCACAAGAATAAAGGCATAACATATAAATGTAAAATTTTATAGAATTTAAATCGACTTGACCATGTACTACATTTTTGAAAAATCGCTTGGGTCCGTGTTCGGGCTTCTTAGACACAAACCTTCAATATTTTTGTCATTCCACTTATGTATACGTGCATCCATGCCACCACTTGAGCCACCAGTCATCGTGCCAGATTTTGTCAATAAGATCCCATCAATGGTCACAACTACGAGCAAGAAAACAGAAGGACAATTTGAATCAAATCAAGCTGGCAATTGCAGAGAAAAAACTAAGTACTGTTATACCTTTGAACCTCTCTCCGCTCCAACTTAGACTCTTAGCTTCGCTGAGATCGTCACAAACCAAGGTGTTTGCAACAGCAAATAAAATGGCCTTTTCCAGTGAAGGATTGAATCCAAGATTTGTCAAGGACACAAAGTCGAAGCATACCATATATACTTTCAAGATAACATCAGAGAACGACCCAACTTTCAAGAGATAAGCTTTGCTTTGTGCTTCATTTAAGAATGAATTGGTGAGGACAAACTGATAGACAACACTCAGACTGAAAAGGGCAAGCTTTATTATTTTCTAATTGATATCCAATAATTTCCTTATATTCCTTGAAGTTCTGATGAGAAAGAGGGGAAGAATAAACCAAAAAATGGCTCAATCTCAAAGGGAAACATATATTTTTTTGTGATCTAACAGTTTAAACTCATCAATGCTCTAGATATTCATATACAACCTGTACGGCTGTATGAGACGGATAGATCTGCACAACTGCCAGAGCGCATTGGCACATATCTCCAATACATTCATTGAATGGATATAAGATAAGAAGGCAAAAAGATAAGAAAAAGGGTCAGATTTCACTTGCATCGGATTTTTCTAGATAACGTGAAATGAGAACTCAAGTAAAAAGAGACCTGGTCACAACTCTTGAGTGGCTGTAGAGCATTTTTATAAGTCTGGCCATATAACATTGCCAACCTTGGTAATTTTTAATGATTCCTCACTCTGCAACCCTAATTCTGCATGTTTGTAATCTCATTAAGTTAATAGTTTCTCCAACTCCATCACCTGTTCTTTAATTTTCATTTAGCAAATTCTAAAAATAGCATATCCACCTCTCTTTAGTTTACCCTAGTTTTCATCGTTGAGGCATTCAACACTTGTGAGTCTTGAGTTTGTGTTCCCTAACTTAAACTAGCTTAAACCGTATTTCTCCTTTCTTCTTGTCCATTTAATAAGAATATAGCAGGTTAAGTACACTAATATCTGTGGTTTCTTTCACATTTTTACTGAGATAAAAAAGGTAGAATGATAAGAGAATAAGCATATCAGGAAAAAGCAAAAAGCTTAATAGCAAAATGCATTTGCAAGTAATATAGATTTCAGTAAAAAGCATAAACAGGTGAATCATATATAGACTTCAGTAATCGATTCATATGATCCTATGAAAGGAGCAATAAAGAACTTTAAAAAGGATACTGTATGACATCAAAGACCAGCTTTGCTGTTCCTCCCAAGGTGCGCAGCCTCTCTGTAACTGGCTTCACACGCACTGACTGAAGAGGTATAAACGTCTGGGGAGGGAGCCTTTGTTCTTTCAAATACTGTAGTAAGCAAGCAAGCTTACTAATCATAAACATGTAATCTTTTGAAATTTAACTACGATTATGATCTACAACAAAATAAAATATTTAGCTAAACCAAATTTTTCAAAAGCTCGAGATTTTCAAACATTACAACATAACTTCGACTTTTAGTCAAAAACTTTACACAGTATTTATCTTATTTGCACAATTGACTTTTTGATAAACTGACCCTCACAAAGTAAATTTTCCAATAAGACACTGCCATGATATGTCAAATCATGCAGTAACAGTGAAATTTACTGTGGAATGAATCAATGGTTGTAAAAAGTCAGAAGGTACAGTATGTCTTGGAGTTCAGAGAGAGAAGATAAATTGATGAGTTTTCAATTGAGAGATGCTGGAAGAAGCCATTATGGTGTACTATGAACACAAATAAGTAGAAGGTTTCAGAATGTCGATGTAGCAACCAGAGAAAAATATGAATAGGATTCAGCCCAGGGTGTAGAAACTCAGAGAAGAAAGATGAAGAAAAGAGGCAACACTTCAAATTGAGAAAACATACATTGGAAATATGACTTCATAAGACATTATAGGGCATAAGAGAAGACATGCATCCGTCAGCAAGTATTCTGAAGCTCAGTTTGATTTAAAACAATACAGGAGAAAACTCAAACATCAGTAACTCAACCACAACTCGACCTGTTAAAGGCCCCTCATTCACAATAACAACCTGCTTTCAATTCACCGTATCAACTCTAAAAGATACTTAAAATCACAATATCTAAATATCTATTCAAAAGAGTGAATTAAGGAACAATAAGTGACAATTATCCGATCAAAGAGCTTCTCATCAAGGTAATTGGAGGAAGAGAAGCCAATGATTCCCTCTAGAATTAACACTCAGAATGAACTCAGACAAAAAGGAAACTAGTGAGAGCAAGTTTGTCCTTGAAGAAATTACATATCAGATACCTTGATGCATTCCTTTCCCGTGTTTTCATCCTCAACCACTACAGCGTCCATGAATCTGCCCATGGCGACAGTGACAGCAAGCTCATACTTCTTCTGTATTGGCCTGCAGAGCTCTGTCATGCGACCATGAACGCCGGCAAAGAGGCGTTTGAGGGTTTCAACTGCCTGAGACAACCTGGCATCCCTTTCATTTTCATGTCTGTCAGCTTTCAATTCACGCAGTTGATCATCTAATTCACTAATTTTTGCCTTCAACATGTCATATTTGCGCCTGTACAAATGTATCTAAAGAGCATGAGAATTGTAAAAACACAAAACATCCAGCAGGCATTGAAGAAGGAAACCACTGAGAAGCACCATCACCCCAACCTGGATTCTACAAGCTTATTTTTCACCTCGCGCTGTTCCTTCTGTACTCGTATAAGTTCTTCCTTGTGCTTCCCAACTGCATCTAGAATTTTGTTGAGTCTAGTTTGCATTTGTTTCTCCTGTGACTCCAGTTCCTGCTTCCGATTTTCCAACTGTCGAAGATTTTCTTCTAAATTCTTCTGGGCTTCTGTATCAGCATGCTGTTGCCGATCTAAGACCTCCTTCTCGTCCTTTAATTTTGCAGTTCTCATCCCAGCCTCTTCTTTCCTGAAAAATAATTGCAAGTTATACCACCTGGTCTTCATTCTCTAAGGCCTTTACAGTTCAAGACATTTTGCTTAACTGGATCCCACCAGAATAGAGCAGGAATATCAATAACTGTGCTGTCTGTGCACGGGAACTCAGTACATACATGCATGTACATACAGGGAACGAGGGGAGAGAAGGAGAGAAGAGTTGCTGTGAAGACACAGACACGAGGAGAATCTATCGTGAGACGTGAACTAAAGGATTTCTGGGTGACTGGAAAGAATGCCATATTGCAACAATATGCAGTTCACAAGTTCTGAGGTATTATAAAATATTATAAGACACTAACCGAGCAGTTATCACACAAACATGTAGGTCGGGTCTGGACTGGAATGATAGACAAGCAATTCAAATTTGACAAGAATAGAAATAAAAGGCCTCACATCTGGTGGTATGTCTCCAATTGACTGTCAACTAATTGAAGTTTTCCCCCAGCCTCCTGATTTTTCTCTCGTAATTTATCCAACTGCTTAGTGATATCCCTCAGGTCATTCTGAAGTTTCTGCACCTCCTCCAAATGTCTCTTTTTTTCCTCTTTCTTTTTGCTTAGCTCTTTAGTGGTACTTTTGATTTTTGAAGCTATACGAGATATCTCCTCCTTTAACCTTAGAAGCTCAGGTTGCTGTAGCACAAAAATACAAGTTATGTACCTCAATGGCATGTAAAATTAATGTTATTTGCAACAGAAAGATGAGAATTGCAACTCAAACAACAAGCAGAGTCATTAAGAAAGAATTATTTTTTAAAATATTCTCGAACTACTTGGTGAACATATAATTAAAAGCATATAACAATGCTCATATTATGGAAGAAGTCTCATTTATAGGGTTAAAGCAAGAAACATGGTCCCAGCATGAATACCCAGTTCAAAAAAGTACGAACCTTTTCAATAAACCTTTTAGGTAATAAAAACAATATGTTTACAATAGGATCTACTGATAAGTAGGAATAAATAATGAAAAAAGATTAAAGGTAAACATCTTGACAATACTAGTGAGTGTGTGAACCAGAATTTTCTGAATACACCTGATGCAAATCCCAAAGAGAAGGAAAGACGACTTGGTCTCAAATGAATCCTGCAGGCACTAACTAATAAATACTCGCATTTCACTTCATCCAAACCACCCTCGAAACAAGCACACTGGCTTAGTATCCACTCTTATTCAGTCTGTCCACAACCCTAAAACTAAATTGCATAATTTCACCGCAGGACATGCCCACTTCTCATCATCAATCGTGTAAATAATTTCAAAGCTTCCCAGTTAACCAAAAAGTGACAACCAAGGAAGTAAATTCTCATAAGAAACTTTACACATCACACGAATATTCTGACAAAGAGCTCAAACACTCTGCTGTAAACATATAATGATATGTTGGTTTTCATGAATAGCACGGGGTGTGCTCTTACCCTATGATGCTCGAACTCGGGTACGGATACAGATCTAAGTATCGAATCTTTTATTTTCTAAAATGTAGGATACGGGGACATAGTTAAAAGAGTCCAAGTTTTGGACACGGATACGTGGATACGTTTTTCAAACTTCAATTTTTTACTAATCCAAGATATCATTTTGAATAGACCAAAATCAATTATTCACAAAGAAGGAAATGAGTATTGAATGAGGGGTTAAGATGAATAAAATAGAATTTTGGGGTTAAGTTTTCAATTATGGGAATTACTAAATGTTACATAAAATAGAAAATTAGGGATTTGATTGCAATTTGGATTTAGTGGAGAAAAACATGGTTCGTATTACCTTTTTGAACTGGGTACTCATTTTATTTTATACAAATAAAACCTTAAATCACTGATACAAAGAAAGAAAGAAGGAAAAAAAATAAGAAAATTGAAAGAAAAAAGAAAGAAGAAAAAGAAGGGAAACCTAGGGCCGCCATCTTTCTCCACCCTCTCGGCTGCGACACTAGGTTTATAGAGAGCAAAAAGGAGAGAGAAGAAAAGAAAAAGAAAAAAGAAGAAGAAGAAGTAAAAACGACGAAGTGTCCGGTTGAAACTTGGAGGATACGACACATATCCCATACCCATGTCGAGTCGTGTCCGACACGAGTACTCCGACTATTTCGAAGAGTCCGAGCATCAGAGCTCTTACCTCCACTCGACATATCAGTCCTTTCAGCCATGTGTAACAAAAGGAGAAAATAAGAAGAGATGCCACAAGCTTCTAGAATAGTCTTAAACAACACGGCAGGGGCAGAGAAGTTCAGCGCTTTTTTCATTCTCCTTTTTTTTTACTTATTACTTACCAGCAGAGTCTTAAATCAACCTAAACATCTTACCATACATAATCTTGCCTCCAGGAAAAGCAGTTTTTGTTGATCACATGAACTTATCACAGGAAGGTGCCAGGGTTCCAGTTATCCAAAGCCAAATTCTGTCTTGAAAACCCAAAACACCTCAAAGACTCTTCAGAGTGGTCCAATCTCAGAGTCAAAATAGTTTCTTTACCACAGTAGAATATATATTCTGCAACAGCTTTACTATACTGCAGAAAATTCTATATGACAATTTAAAAAGGAAATAAAATAAATTTATAGCAGATTTAGGAAAGATCCACCGAGTCATAATTATGGAAAATGATATTCCATCTGAGTTTGGATCTGGACCAACAAAAAGGAGGTCAATGTAATATAAGTGGAGGTAATATAAGTGGAGAAGGCTAACTTGCAATAGAACATCTCATATCTTCTAGCAAAAAGAGCCCTTCCTTCAACTTATATTGCAAGCTTTCTTGCAATCCAAGATCCCCTAGTCTTTCCCGAATAATTTTATTTAGGAGACCTGGCTTAGCCCGCATAATCGATATGGTAACTTTTGCAGGTCAAATCCAGCTGATCTAATGTGTGCATTGGACCAGAACAATGAACTTTGCTCTATTCAATGAGAGACACAAAAGCAGCAGGAGAAAATGATTGAAAGAAGATAAGTCTTACATTCTTATCAAGTCCATTCTGCTTCTCTGTGATTCTCCTCTCGCATCGTGCAATCTCTTTTAAATATCCAGATTGTTCTTTCTTCTTTTTACTTGCTTCACTTTCATAATTCCCCAGTTCATCCACAATTTCTTTTCGGGCTTGCTCTTCAGCATCCAGGTCCTCATTAGCTTTTTCAGTATCCTTTTGAATGTTCAATAGTTGCCAAAGAAAATGTTCCTGCTTTAAAGATTTCTGCATTGGAGGCATAATAAAGAGATGAATTATTAGTTCAAAGTTAAAGGTTGTTTCAAATAATTACTATTTGAGTATTAACCTACTTATTTCTAAAGGGCAAGGATATAGTCGTCCAATGACAGGATGATTTTATTTAGAGCTTATGTATGATTACTGAAAAAAAATTAATTTCAAAGCATTCACTTGCTCTCCTATAATAGCTCATATACATGTAAAAAATACAAAATCGAAGAAATATAAACGAAGTATAAGTAAATACAAGTTGGTCTTGCAATTTAAGGTGTTTTTCAGCCTCTTCTTTCTGCTGCTTCTTCTGTTTTTTCTCTGCAGATATTGTTTTCTTCCTTTGATGAGCAAGCACAGCTTTTTCATCAACCATTGCTTTTTTTTCTTCCAGTTCCTCATATGGTCTCTTGTATTCTTCAGAACCAGAGATTTGTTCAATAAGTGCTGTAAGTTCCTTAGGATTCTTAGAAGCAATTGACTCCACATCCCCCTGTGTCACAAAACAGCTTATCATTAGAAGTAATATTGTTTCTGTAACTCATTACTAGTACATCATTAGGTTCTTTCTCTTTGTACCAGTTGGAAAAATTATAAAGCAGTTGCAGAGTCTTTAAATTGCATCCCTAGTTATATTTATATAGTTGAATTTTTTACTTACTAGAAATGTGTCTGTGCCTATGTATCCAAGTATCTACTAAAAAATAGAAATACAATTCGGGTAAAAGGATAATGTAGTATTATTTGTATTCAGAAAACACTGGAAAGGTCAACAAAAGCAAAAAAAATATGCACATAAGGAAACCCGGGATGAATTTCAGGATAAGGGGAAAAAACACTTTGAAGGCATCTTTTGAAATTGTTTCCCACATTCTTATTCTTATCCATCAAACCAACTTTCATAATTGAAAAGTTTTCTGATGTCCACTTTCCTTGAAAAGATATTTACAGCAAGCATCACCACCAATAATTCTAGTTCGGGCCTTCAATCAACATTTGTCCCGTTACTCCTATACACAGGGAAGTGATCAATATAATCTACATCTTAGAATTTCACTCTAATCTTGTTTTATTATTCCACTTCGATCTTGTTTTATTATTCCACTTCTGTCTTAGTCATACTAGCGTAAAGAATGGAATCATAACTTTGATCATCACATATTTGTTTCTCCGTACAAGTACAACTGACTTCAATTGTAACTTCTCTTTCATACTATTGATGCTGTATGGTGTAACCAATTCTTCCAAAAGCCATAGCTAGCTGGAAAGTCGTGATCAAGCCCGTTATCACCCAGAGCCACGACCAAGAATCCACCCCTTGCACTATTGTTTTCACCTTTAGTTTGGGATCCCTTGTGGCACGATCTCATTCTCATGTTCAAATCATTCTCCCCTACTTACGAGACCTAGTGACATCCAGCTATAATACCAACTAAAGCCGGGTGAAACGACCATTTATACCAGAAGTTTGACACGTGAACAATTTTCATAAATAAGTACAAACTTATTTATTTAAGTTTAGTCTTCAATGTGTTCCATCACATCTAGCCATAACAATTTTTCGGCTTGACACATGCATAATTTTTATAAATGGGTGATGTCAAGCCTAGCTGTGATATAAGGTTAAACACCACAGTGAGAAAGAAGATATTTATTTATTTAAACATCGCCTTCAATACACCACCGCAATCCGGATTCATATAATGCAAAATTTTCATAAATGAGTAATAGCAAGACTTGAACTGGATTTTTGCCTGGTTTTAATAACATGTTAACCATTCCACTTGCTTATTTATCTAAATTTAGCCTTCAACATTACTCCACCATCAACGTTTTTTACAATATTACTGTTCTAATTCAATTTTAACCCATAAAGGAAGTCCAGTTTCCCTCCAACAATTTTTTTCTCCAAAATGTACTTTTTTGTCATTTTTACACTACCATGCGGTTAAAACTATTGCAATTCACGAAATAATATCTCTGTATAACATTTGAACTTAAAAACACGGGAGAGAGTTAAGAAAAAAAATTTCAAAAGTAAAACAAGATTAAAGTCGGCGAAACCACCTGGAAAACCAAAAAGTTGCGTGCCTTGACTAGAATTCCTAGCGACTTCAAGCTGTTATTATAATCATCCCAATTCACGACAAGATCCCCAATCCTGTACTCACTGGCACCGGCAGGCGTAATTGAGCGAGTGAAACTAATTTCGTTCCCGTCCATCAGCTGGTAGACGAGCATGACATAAGCTTTTCTTCCTCTCTGCTCCTTCTCGCGGTCATCGAACGCGTAAATGAGGTCTCGTAACTGGGCCCCACGGAGCTGGCCAGTTCGCACACCAAGGACGAAGCTGATGGCGTCCATTAGGTTGGACTTACCGGCACCATTGGGTCCGATGATCGCAGTGAAGTCGTAAAACGGACCAATTACTTGGTGACCCTTGTATGACTTGAAGTTCTCCAGCTCCAGCCGGAGGATCTTTCCCGGCGATGGGATGGCTGGCATTTTGGGAGCTTTGATTGAATTCCGAATCCTATGGCTCGAAAATTATACAGTTTGGGAGTAGGGTTAGGGTTTTGGAGGGGAAATTTCAGGTGAACATTTGGCGGGGTGGGGGATTATGGGAGTAGTGGACACGCTCTCTTTTGTTTGAAGGCTACAAGATACCGCGCGTTTGGCTAAAAATGGATTAAATTTACATTTCAAGTAAGCATATGTTTTAAAATCGAATTAAAATTAACACGCGTTTTACTAATATGTTCTTTACCAAACTTAAAAGAACAATAACTCAATAAGCAGTCTGGAATACGATGTCGTGTATCTGAAAGCCTTAAGAAATGCATAGGAAAGAAGGTCGGATTAACCTCGAAAAAAGTGATCCAAAATAAATTTGACCTAAAATTTCAGTGTATATCCAATCAAAGAACTAGATCACAATCCCGCAAGGCTAATCTCTCGAAAATCAAAAGAAAGGAAAAGTTAAATTATACGTCCTGATTTTTGAAACTTTCTTTCCACAAGTTATTTTATACACTTCATGAAAGAGGAAAAGTGAGCCATATCAAAGAAAGTCATTGCGCGCTACCCTGACTAAATAACTTTAGCCAGGAGTTGAAATATGTTGTCCAATTTTATTGTCTAAATAGCTGTCCGTCCAATGAATTATTAACATGTCTAATGTCTTCAATAATTAATATATCATTTCAAATTTATTATCATTATCTTCAACACTAACCAATCAAATTAATAATTAATTAGATGGACAACCATTTAAATCCAGCCCATCTCCTTCAGCTAGCTATTATGTTAGTTGTAACGCACCTTCCGTCCTCCTCTCAATTCAGGAAGATTTATCATCAAAGAAAAACAATACACTCTTATAACCATGAAAATTGACTTTGTTTTATTGAGTCAAAACACATATGGCACGTTTGATACGTTCGGTAAAAATGATTAGATAGTACAACACTGTATTATTAATTAAGAAGATAAAGTTAAAATCTATTTATTATATTATCAAATATAGTCGAGCATACCAAACACGAAAATGAAATCAAATATATCATAACATGCCAATACAAATGCTAGTAGAAAAGTCACACGTACAATCATCCCGTGTCCTTGTGCATTAAAGTAACAACCTAGTTAACTAGTCACGGTGAGAATTTCAAATTCTCGCAAAAGAAGCGCACCATAAGCTTAGAGGCGGTAACAAGCTAAACAGGCAACACGAACACGATCTACCACCAAAGGTAATTCCTCTCACTCTGGAATAGCTGCTTGTGCTTGAGCACCCTCATTATTCGTCTCACTCCGGGATCCAGCGTTCCCTACTTCCAATGAATTCAGACGTTCGGTTTCGTGTCGACTTTCATTCTGCAGAGCTAAAGTTGCTCCTTCGGCATCAGAGTGATTAGGCAGTTCTTCTCTTGTATTATCATCAGAGTGAATAGGCAGTTCTTCTCTTGCATCAGAGTTAGGCCGTTCTGATTCTAAGGAAGCTACCATTTCCTCATATTTTGAAATGACTTTTTGAAGCTCGTCGTTGAGGTTTAGAGCTTCGAAAAGCATCAGATCATCGTCGGATGTGCTTTCGATAATTCGCTGAAGAACAGGCAAACATTTTCTGCATTTCTCCAACATGCTCACAGTCAGATCATCCTGCAAAACCCCCAAAACAAGATCTTATTAGTATTGAAACCTATTAAATTTGTTTGTAGATTAGTTCAAGTGATAGAAAGGCCAACATAAAACAAGAGTAAAAAAGTTCTGTCATAGGATTGTGAACATGAGAAGAAAAGGGACAGTTCGATAGCTCGCCATTTACAGAAAAAGACTACTCCAATGTCAATGGGAAGCAAGTGTTGTTTCAAGATGGAAAAGCCAAGACCATGAGGTTGCGATAAGAGATGCCAACATGTGCCCAAAAGACTCGCACGACTTGCCTCGCAGATACTGGAAATATGGTATGGAAAGTTGGAGAAAATATTATACTAGACCGGTGAGGCAATCTATAACAATTAGAACAATAACAATAATAACAGCGGCAGCAACAATAGCGTTTAAAAAACAAAATCTGAAGTTAGGATTGAAACAGTGATTTATTAAGTATCTAAACAAAACAAAGAATATCCTGACCTTGAGGGGTTTGGGTACAACTTCAGAATTCAATATGCTGGAAAAAATGTCGAGACTATTTCGAGTTATTTCAAGAAACTCCTTCTTCTCTTCAACAGATTGGATGCCATAACTAATGAATGCAGCATCTGGAACATTTTGTAAACCAGTGTTGGGAATAGGATAACTTCCAGGAGGCGACCGGGGCTGTTGACCAAGATATGACTCCAGGCTATATTGCGTGGGGGATGCATTTCCGTCATGTGTTACTGGAGGTGTCCCTCTTGTCTTCAAGTTCTGCCAAATTCCAACCAATTAAATTGCAGGAAGAAAAACTCATGTCACTACTATCCAAGTTCATGAAGCATGGAATTATGCAAGGTTAGAACTTAGTCCTTCCATAAAGGACGGAAATATGGCTTTTCTCTAAATACATCGAGCATGGAAACATGCACATTCAGAAGCTAGCATATCCATCACGTTCCACGTTAAGTTTTTATTTTAAAATCATAATCTGTAATAGTTTATCTCGTGAAAGAACATTAAAACAAGAAACCAACATGAAATACTAAACTCAAACCATATAACCAAAGGGAAGTGCTATGTGTACAAAATAGTTTACACAATCTTTTACACCCCCCTCACATGGAGGGGGCCCACATACAATAAAATATAATACAATAAATATTTGTGGGCCCCCCTCCATGTGAGGGGGTGTAAAAGATTGTGTACACCACAAGGTGTACACATAGAATAATCCATAACCAAAACTGCAAGAAATTTTCAAATAAAATAGAAGCATTAGAAAGAAAAGAACACCAGAAAATAGTAATCCATATGAATACAGGTTTAGCAATGTACAACTCTAACGAGAGACATTAACAGCGTTTTTACAAGTTCAAGTTCTTATTGCTTTGATAATCACTAACCAAATAACCCCTTCAAACATTATACAGCACAAAAATGGAAAATTCATTCATTTTCTAATATAATTAGAAATGAATAAATTTCTCCCCTATCTAATAAAAGCTTTCAGATCGTGTGTCTTATTGGGATATTGGAGCAACTGGTTCATGTCTCGCTGTCATTGCTGTCACCCAATCATGAAAACTATGTGTCAGGTCTTTGACAAGAAAAAGATACATGATTCGGTTCCAGTGCTGAGTGTCCACAGTTTCATTCAAGAACCATATGGGACCTGGTCGGTTCTTGATTTTGGTTCGATCAACATTTTTTTCGACTATTATTTCAAAGTTCCTTAATTCTTGTACTCATTTTCAACCACACACGTTTCCGCAATAAAATAGCAAACCCAAAACTTTCCCCTACATTTCAACCACACGTCCTTAAAAAAATCCCAATTCAAAACTCTATTTTCTCAAAATAATGGCCGTCAAACAGGGGCTAAAGCCCTGAGTTCTACATTTCCTTCTTAACATTTTGCATAACAGCATCACTGTTCAACAGATTAAAAAGTTTCCAAATTTGGAACATCCACAATGTATAGAACTGAAAAATAGAACAAAAAAATGGAGAAAGTGCCACTGACCAAATAAGTCTGATGAAAAACGGGCAAGTACACGAGATCCTCAGACTCGCCCCAGGCCCGGATCAGCTGCATCGCCTTAACCTTATTCCCCTGCTCCGTCTTCGGATCATCAATCAACCTCACCATATCATCCAGCACCTTCTCCGACGCCACCTCGGAGAACATCTTTTCACAATTCGACGTGCAAGTCTCCAGCAAGTCCAAACTCAACTTCTGACTCGCCGGACTTTTTGCGGCCACCAATTTCTTCTTAATAGCCTTAACGATTTCCGTCCCATTCAATTCCTCCTTGTTGACCATAGCGCAAATGCGGAGGTTCAAACTCCAGTTGGGCTCCTCCATGGACTCCGCCGTGGCCTCATCGACTATTTTCGATTCAGGCGTAGGACTCTGGAGAATTTCCTTCATTTTCGTGCTGATCGTGCGGCCCACTTGAGCGCCGCTCGTCTTTATCCGCTCCCCCAATGAAGACGATGCCAGTTTTAGCTTCGACAAATCAAGTTTTTCCATTTCTTTATTTTGGAATCAGATTTTGCTGAAAGGGATTCAGATGAAAAAAATTCAGTTCTGTTGGGGATCGATTTTTGTTTGGATTGTTTGGAAATAACAGGTCTATTGGACTGAGTCACTGAGATACGCGTGGCTGGGTGTCGAGCAGGAAGAGCCCAAAGAACGATCGATATTATTATCTATTCAATCTTGGAGGCGGTGCTTAATTCTTCGATTATTTATTAAAATCTTATATTTAAGACTAAATATTTGTGTATCGTTTAAAGCATGCTAACAATATTTTTGGATGAAAAATGTGATTAAAGACAATATTTACGCGTTAATGAAATGTTAAAAATAAGAATATGACAATAAAAGTCAATGGATAAATGTTATATATTTTATAAAAGTATGAGGTGTAAATATAATTAATTTTTTGTAAAAGGACACTAATATATTGTGAAATTACATGTTTAAAGTTGCGATAAATTAAGAGGTATAGCTGTAGGTGAAGTTACAAACTATTCATCTGAATGATACCATACAATCATTCATAATCGAAATGTCAAAGAACAATTTCATAGAATACTATAATCTAAATGATTGAAAGGATACTTGTATTGTCCTTCCAAAAAAAAAAAAACTATTTAAGGGGTTGTATAATACAACTAATAAAAGTTTTAAGAAATTTTTATAAAAAATTGATAAAAATCGTAATTTCAATAAAATATATGATTAAATTAAATGTTTAAGTCAACTCTTTAATAAATTGAAATATTTAAATGTTATAAAAAAAAAAGAGGACAAAAAAAACGAGGTTTTTCGTTATTTGATTGGATCAAAAAGAAAT